AGTATGGATTGTACTTTAACATCAAAGAAAAAATAATCTCACAACTAGACCATTAAGCAATACCATGATCAGCGGAGAAAGGTTTGAGGTTGTCAAGGACTTTATTTTATTTGGATCCATAAGCAACACCCATGGAAGCAAAACGCTGCTGCAAAAGACCTGTGTGAAGTGTTAAAAAGAAAGGTGTCACTTAGAGGACTAAGGTGTTTCTGACTCAAGTTATAGTATTTCCAATCACCTCCTATGCTGGCAAATGAATAAAAAAGATGGAAGAAGAATTGACACATTTGAATTGCGGCATAGGCAAAAAATATATACACATACCCTAAACTGCCAGGACAATAAATACATTTGTCTTTGCAGCAAGGCAGGTTGTTCTTGGAAGTGAGAATGGCAAGACTTTATCTCATGTACTTTGTCTTTTGTTATCAGGAGGACAATTCGTGAAGAAGGACATCATGATTAATAAAATAGAAGACCAGGGAACAAGAAGAAGACCCTCGAGAAGATGGATTGACACAGGGGCTACAGAAATGGGCTGAGACATAGCAATGGTTATGAGGCTGTTGCAGAACCAAGGAGAGTCTCCTTTGGTTGAACATAGTATTGTCATGAGTCAGAGCCAACTTGATGGAATGTTGCAACAACAGAATAAAATTATTCCTCAAATTACCTTATAGAGAACAATTCTTATCCCTATTTTCAAAGAAGAAAGAAAAGCCCATTAAGGAAATACAACTAGAAGTTATTTTCATTTCATATTGTCATAGCACCTGTCTCTACACAAATGTACCTTTTTTTTAAGTCGCTCAAATTCAAATGTTAAGAGCATAAAAGCAGGGATCCCACCTTTCTAGTTTGCTACTGTACCCATTCCACCAACAACTGGTCCCGGTCCATTGTTGCTGTCAGTTGACTTTGAGTCAAGTCTGACTCACGAATACCTTCTCTATAAGACAACAAAACATTGCCCAAGCCCATGCCATCCTCATGTTTGTTAGTATGCTCAAATCTATTGTTGT